AGGATCAGTGAGTTCAGTAAGTTTTCATTTCACAAGAACGTATATGGCTATAATATATCCTTTTTCTAATTTCCAATTATTACTTAGGGCCTATAGGCACATAGTTATCTTCGGTAAAGTTAAAGCGACTTAGGCCTACTGTACTACTAATACTAATACTAGGGCTAGGTCCTAGGACTGGGCATAGGCCTAGGCCTACCTAGGGCCTGGCCGTAGGCAGGCTAGTTGAAGATTGAAAGTAAGTAGGCAAGGCCTAGGACTTGCCAGGTTAGGCCTGATAGTGTACCAAGTTAGCTTTAGCTAGGCTACTGCAATGAAGAACAGACATTCAAGACCTGGCCATCAACATTTGGGAGCGATACTTTGATTACCGAAATATAAATGAAACGATTTATCCTCTCCTCGGCATTTTGACACCTTTTCTAAAAGAATCTGTTTTCCGACAAAAAACAAAACACGAAACTTAAGTACATCATTAATCGATTCCTTGCCTTGGCCTCAAACCTACAGGGGTATAGACTGACACCAAACTCACCATCATATCATTTATGATTAGGATAAAAAAGTTATATTATTTTGAATTGTTTCACATCTGTTAACTTGTGAATTTATTTTTCCTGCACTCTCTCAATTTCGTTTATTGGCATGCCCTGTTCCGGTTTTGGACCAATTTTAAAAAATAAAGGTGTCAAAATACTGAAGACAATACTTTTTCATTAAGATGATTATGTACATTTGATATAATTCACCCATTTATAGCCCACAAATAATAACTAGAGTTGCAATCCCATAAACCGAATTCAAAAGAAACATTTTCTACATTGTTGCAATGTTAGAGAAGTGAAATGAAAATACCTAATAAATTGAGCTTTTTCAGGAACTTAATATCTTTCAGTTGTCACCTTTTGGATTTTAAAGACTAAAATTATAAGATATCTTCCAGTTGTCACTTTTTTTTATTTTAAAGACTAAAATTATAAGATAAGGGAAGCAGAATTACACTTTCATTCAAAATTTCCACAACTTTTTGTATGTAAAAATGAAATCTGAACACTGTTTTAACATAATAAATATCCATAGATATATGTCAGTTATTACAGATAATTATGGAAACTGTTAGTGATTCATGTTTTCGAATTTTGATGAAAGAAAAACGTTTGGGAAAACTGGATGAGCTTGGTGTGGTCCATGAAGCGGATCTTGCACTAGTTACGGAAGGATGACATTCTAAAGGCCATAGATGTGCACAAGCGTAGTACACATTTTATAAAAGGTAAGATGTACTGTATGGATAAGGTGTGTTGCCAAACAATAATTGTCCTTTTATTCTGATTATGATTGCTTGGAGACTGTATGATCCAAATGAGTTTGGCATTTGACCAAATTACCATGCTACTTTTCAATTTGCCAGAATTTAATCCACAACTTTTGATGGTTAAAATATTTATAATCTTTCAACCTTTGGAAGAAAACTATTTAAAAAATATCAATGCTTTCTTAATGTTTAGACGTAATTACACAACAAAATAAATGCATTGATTTAGTTACAAGATACATGCTACAATTATGTGCCCAAAATCCAGGATGTATTTGTTTTCTTTGTCTGAAGTTTTAATTGTTTGTGTTGTGTTACTCAGTCCTGAATTTTCTTTCCATCAGCAATTATGTTCTTTTTTCCAGCAAAATGTGAACAAAAAACACTCCAGAAACTTTATTCCCATTTCAAGCCTAGGAGATTTATCCAGTCCAGAGCGAAACTCAAGTCAAGAAGAGTACCTTGATCTTCTATCACAGAAGACATTTTTTGCCAACACTTCCAGGTACGCAGTACTGTATTGTATATCTAGTTCTAATTAGTAAATGTAAAAGACTACATTCAAATTGAATTTATCATCATCATCTGGTACATTGTTTTGTCTTGGGTAGATATTATGTACGTTAATTATTGCCATGGATTTGTTATATATTATCAGTTTTGTCTATCACTCTCTTAACATAGTGTCCAAAAATCAAAAGGCACTTTTTGAGCTCAACATGTCAAGCCTGACTTTATAAGGCCCTTTTGTTGCTTGCTAAAATAACATGGCCCTTAATAGGGTATGACTACAATTATCTTATGTATTTATTGCCTTGGGAAAACATGGGATAATACAGTAAGTTGATTGTGCATCCA